GTTTCAAGAATTATGTAAAGAAGAAAAAGGTTGGGATGAACCGATCTCGATTGATGGCTCTAGGTGACGACAGTGCAGCACGGTTTTGGATAAGCTGGAAAATGTTTATTTGCTTTATTTGTTTATTTATTATGGTCATCAAGTGAAAGCACCGAGCCAACCTCAGAAATAGAACTTCATTTGTTCAGTGACGCATCCGAAAGGGGCTGCGTGGCTGCGGCCTATTTTCGTTTCGTCGGCATAAATGCACCATCGAGGTGTGTTCTAGCAATGGCCAAGTCTCGAGTATCACCCTTGAAGTTTGTTACTATACCTCGGCTGGAGCTATCAGCCGCTGTGCTGGCTACGCAGTTACCTCGAACGATACAAAGCGAAATGGAAATAACGCTTAGACNTAGACGGACAGTGTACTGGTCTTACTCTGCGTCGGTCTTATACTATATCCGAAATAATAAAAGCCGCTTCTCTGTCTTTGTCGCTAATCGCGTGACTAGGATACGAGACACTTCATCACCAGAGCAATGGAGGTATGTACTGGGTAAGAATAACCCCGCTGACTCGGCGTCAATAGGTATGGTCTACTAGGGTAATGAGCAAATGCGCTGGTTCTTTGGACCTACGTTTCTGAGTAAAGCAGGATATGTTGATGACCGTATAGGTCCTCATCCAGAACTCTTAGACAAAATCTTAGAAATCAGGAGCGAAACGTTCATTGCTTCGATTAGTCAAACCAGGAGCCCGCAGTATTTTGAGAGGTTCTCGTCATGGCTTGCACTACTGAAATGGGTAGCATGGATGTTAAGGTTTAAACGGTACCTTCTTATTCCTGCGAGAGGTCAGGTTAATATGTCATTGCGGGTAGGTCCGTTGAAAATAGAAGACCTGCGAGTCGGTCGTGCAGCAGTGACAAGAGTTGTGCAGACCGAATGTTTTCCTAAAGAGCAACAGGTGTTACTTGAGGATAACCCGAAGAATCAGAGACTTCCTGCAAATAGCCCTATTAGAAAGCTCAGCCCCAACGTATTCGATGGATTGTTACGCGTTGGTGGCCGCCTGCAGTGATCCCATATGTCGGATTCGCTTGAGGATCCAGTGAACCGCCCCTCCAAGCATCATATTACGAATCTGATCATTGGTTATCATCATGAATTTGATGGACAAATCGGTTGTAATCAGGCCCTGGCAAGCGTTCAAAGGAGGTTTTGGTTATTGCAGGGTAGAGCCAAAATTCGACGGATCATTGGCAAATGTATGTCTTGTCGAAGTTATACAGCTCACCCAGGCAACCAGCAAATGGCGCCTTTGCCCTTTGAGCGCGTTGTTCACAGTGGGCATGCCTCTGCTCACATCAGAGTTGACTTCTTTGGCCCTATATACGTTCGACAAGGGAGATCAGAACAAAAGCGTTATGGGTGTTTGTTTACCTGTTTGAACATTAGGGCTGTTCACATTGAGGTGACCCATTCCCTTACATCGGATGCCTTTCTGCAAGCATTGGTACGTTTTATGGCCAGGCGAGGGAAACTCAGAGTGGTTTTTAGTGATAACGGGACCAACTTTAAGGGAGCTTACAACGAGCTTCGTGCTAC